AATGATTCGCCCTTTGTTTTTGATCCTTGAATCTGAGCAAAAGGTTTTTAAGGGTGTGCGTGGAGGAGTGTGTAACTGAAAGCCTCTAAAGCTTCCTCAAAAATATTGAAATGGCGCGTAAGGAAATGGTGGTGTTGCCTTTCAGGCACTTGGGCATAAATTCACTCTTAACATTTCCGAGTTTCCAGTTTGCTTCATGATTTTTTGCCAGGAATTTTGTTGAAAGGCAGAATTTTGTGTTTATAAAGTTGTCATAGATTTCATGTTAATACACTTCGGTTTCTAGGATTGCTCCCTCAATAAGATAAGATAAGCTTATAAATCGATATGCTTGCAACTCTAAACACATTTTTACTCAGCTCAATTAAAAGTGGATTTTAGTATCAGGCCCATTGATATTGCTTTTGACTTTCAGCGTTTACGCCTTCAAGTTATTTGGTACCCACTCGTAAATCTCTCTTCTTGTTTTCATCGTCTATTTTTAACGATAAACCCGCTTTCGCCTTGAACCTGTTCAGCCATTTGGCTTATTTGGCTGCAATTTTCGGTGGATGGCTGGCAAATGGCCCGCTGCAAGCCAAAAGAAACCACTAGCGCACAACTCAAGTCAGGCAGAAGCACATTACGCATACGTCACGTTGAGCACGTGCGCGACACCGAGTAGAGAAATGCTGGGAGAATCGGAGAAGCGCTAGAGAGGCAGACCCAGGAAAGTGAGATAATTCCGGGCGATGCCACAACAATGTGGGACTTTTTAATGGATTTTCATTAAGTTTAAAGCCAGATAGGGGCGAGGGACAATGGCGGGGAGCGGTAGAATGGAAAAGCTCTTAAGAAGTTCATTACAGCGATAGCAGTGCCAAAAAGTTTATTTGACCATTTAGTGGCAAATGCCAAGCCGAAAGATGTTTTACTCAAGAAACTGAACTGGAGAGGAAAAAGTCCTGGCGAAATGGAGTGTTGAATGGAGGCGAACACCGAGTGTCTCGGTCTGCTGTGGCAAGTCAGCATTTATCTATCATGTTTGTAATCACTTTTCATTAGGTTTCAGTGGCAGACTTTTCGTTTTTGCTACCCCTTCCCTCTTTCTACGACTGTTGCCCTATGCCGATGCCGAATGCAATTCGCATAAAGGATTTTCGCACATGCTCGAGAATTTTCAAGTGTAGGAAAAAAGTTTTTTAATTGGAAAACACATTTAAGTGGATTCCACTAAGAGAAAGAGAGCGAGCCAGTGACTGAACTAGAATGGAAACTTTTTAATACTGTTTATTCTGCCGCCCCCATTTTACTGCTTCTATTGAAAGTATCGCAATATCCATTGGGGTTAAGGGAAAACTTTCCTCTTGTTTGGCAATTTTCATTTGCCTTTGAAACGGGCAATTATGAAAAATGCTCGGAAAATGCACGATCCCCGAGCATAACTAACTCATTTCATTAGTTCCCCCACCCGCGTAGCGTAGTGAAAAAACATTTTAATGTTTCTGCATATTTTATAACTATGCAGGGCATTGTTTTCCGCCCAAGTGCCCCATATCAGGCGGATTAAAAGTTGGCCAGGTCAAATCTCGGCCCAGGACTCATTTTAGCTTGACTACCGGACCTCACTGGGTCCTCATTAGAACAATACTACGAGTATTGTTTATTCTTATTCTTGTTGGCTAGTCTGGCTATTTATTTATAAATACAATCAATACTTGCCATCAACCATTACTCTTTGCTTCTGCTTCAATTCAGCTCAACGTATCCATTTGAAGGTACTAGCCCACATAAAACCGATATAATGCACTGTGTTTGAAATACACAGAGTTCTCCAGAAGCACTCATACACGTGCAAACAAGAGTATGTGTACGTGTTGGCCGTTTGTTTGTGTTGAAGGATGCCTGAGGGCCTTAACTGCATGTGCAACCTGTTTTTAGCTCGGCCATGTCCAAAGCTGATGTGTAAAATATTTTTCAAACTTTATTCACATTCGGGGCATGTGCCGCTGAAGGGTGGAAAGCGAGCAAAAAGGCCGTGGCACGGGGTGGGATTGGGTGTGGAAAAGGCAAGGTTGAGTTCATTGTGGTCACATATCATGCCAACGATCATACGTCACGTTGTCTGGCGCTGAACTTTTCCACCACGCATCAACGAGCGCAGGAAAATTTAACTGAGCAGATTAAACAGGGTGAGCAAATATTTATCTTTCACCGAAATACTGCATTTATTGTACTGACACTTTCAATTGCTTTAGCAGCTTATAAATATTTTGCTACTACAATATTATCCCAGTAATTACGAAACTAAAGATGAGAACGAAGGATCAACAAATGAGCATAAAAAATGATGCAGCCTCGTGGCAAAGAAGCTGAAAAACGCTCCAGACAAAGAAAGATGGGGATAAACTTAACACACACACTCTGACAAGGGGATAAATGTTTTCCAACCCCCTCATTTCACCCCCTTTTTTCGGGCTCTTGCTTTCAGTCAAGTCATTTGTCTGCAAAGGGAGCTACCGAAAAAGGGATAAGAGGGATAACACATATAGTTATTTATCAAGTTATAAGTTATGATGTCAGCACGCTGGCATTATGTGACTGATAAACCCGAACACAAACACAAGTGAGCACACACATGTCTTCGTCTTACGGCTTCTCTAAATGAGATGAAAAATCGAGGTGAGAAAATTTTGACATTGCCGTCATTTGTTGTGGCGCTCACTTAGGCGCCAGCTCAAGTTACTCTTTGAAGAGGTATAATGGCTAGCAAACGAAATGATGACAAAATTCAAAAATTGGAAATGTATTTTGTTTGTTTTGGCAGGCTAAGTTTCATTACATATAAATAAATCCAAAATTATAACAATCCCTTACAATTTAAATGCTAGAGTCAGCAAAAGCAATTTGAAAGATTGTTTTATTAATACAAAATTGTGTTGCAAATTTTGCAGTATACTCTCCAGTCGACTATTGCACATAAGTTCGTCGTCTACATTTTTTCGGTAGCCCCCTCCTTAAATTATGATGATATGAAAAAAGGCAAGCGAGAGCAACTCGATGTCTTGCCTGCGCAAACATTTGCATAATAAATTAAATCAACGGAGGAAACAGGAGGGTAAAGATGGAGGTGCAGCTGTAAATTAAAAGTTCATGCCACGGCAAGGACATGCTCTGCTCCACTCGTCCTCTCATTTCAGACCAATCCCTTGCCTCAATGACACACTTCACATGGAACCCCTGAGTTCCTTCCCGCCCCACAAAACACCCAAAGCCCCCAAAACCCCCAAAACACCCAAAACACCCTGCCCATTGGGTTTCCACTTGCGAGGCCGACTTCACCGCTAAGTTTAAGTGGAAGTGAGGCCCAGAAGCCATCGCCAAGTCACTGCAGTCAAGTCCAAGTCATCGTCATCGTCATCAGCATCAGCATCAACATGAGGACACTGCAAGGACATTTCAACTTGGATAAATCTCAAGCCCGCACGGTAATGTACGAACTATTAGTATGCTTAAATAATTATATGCTGATTTTTTCCAGCTTAAATTGTAGATTTGTAGCTTGTTTATTAACTCCTAATATTGCACCTTGTACTAATTATGTTTCAATGAGCTAAGCGCTTTAATAATAATATTCAAATACAATAATGATATTCCATTCTTATTTACTTTTCTTGCGCTATGCAGTTGTACGGATGTCCCTATTGAATTGGTTTCGGTAATGCTAATTTATTTCCAACCAGGGAACTATTCCACTTTCAGAACTGCAATTTATTTTGCAGTTACCCAACCCCGGTTCATATTTGTTTTGCTCCTTTCCCAGCTTCAGTCGAGCTTAATCTAACGCACTCGCAAACACGTCAAGCCACAAAAGTTGACTCTAGACTGTGTTTACAATTGGCAAATGGGGTAAGCATGGCAAGTGGAGGGGCTGCGGTGGGCTGAAGTGCAGTGGAAACTAAGAACCATAACAATGTCAGCCGGAAAATAATGCTTTTGATGTCTGTTGACGCATGCTGTAAGCCGAGCATTAATTAAGCGTTAGATGCAATTTCCTCGGGTCCATAATGAGCTTTACGGCAATAGAATCCTGCAGGAGTCGAGTGTTGCAGCCACAATCCGGGGGGAGGGGGTGGAGTGTGTGTGTGAGCAGCATCTTGTGGTCAGCTTGGTGTTGCATAAAAATCCCATTTAACACAAGGACATACGTACCACCTCTTTGCGGTTTTCTCACCCACACATTTCTCACATTTCCCAAGTGCAAATTAGTATTTTTCTCGGTTGCAACGCTTGAGCATAAATTTATATTAAGTCACATGAGTCCCTCGAATAATTGCAACCAAATTGAGGAACTTCCCTCGAATTGAATGCCTGGCAGTTCTCCTCAGTTTCGCAGCGGGTTTCGCATTTTAATTAGGAGCAATTATGGCAGGCTGAGAAGTGCAACATGTGACGCCTAATTTGGCAACGACTTTCGAATGTCTCTCGGTTTCTCGTCTTTCAGGGCAAAATTTGTGGGCTATATGATTTCCATGCGCGTTTGAAATTAAATCTAAAAACATGATATAAGATAAATAATTTGGTTTCCTTTATTCCAGTGTGTTTAGCAATTATAGCATGTAGGATTTTAATTTTTTCTTTATATTGCATTTAAGTTAATATTTGTATATATTTGGTATTACTAAGTATTTAAGGGTCGAGCTAAGTTTGTCGAGCTTGCTGCTGCCTTGAAATTGTTGCCAATTTGTACACAATTAAAAAACTTTACATGTCTCGAAATTAGGCGAGCAAATTGTTTTAAAATGTCCTCGGTAGAATGGGAAACCCCAAAAAGAAGCTGTGAAAATGTGGCAAGGAAACGCGAAGGATGGTAAGGCAGCGAGTGCCAGAACTGATTTCAATCGCACACATGTGGCGCCTGTTCTTCGAATTGCCACCTTATAGCAACCTGCTTTCGCCACACTCCGCCTCCTTGGAGGCAACAAACTTTTGTTTCAAAATTTTGTACATAAATTCAATTAGTAAGCAATGCCACAAAAGTAAATATGGAAGTGCTGGATGGGGGACACGAGGCCTACATTGGGGCACGTGAGGCAAAAGCTGCTCCTGTGGCAACGGAAAACCGTTTGAAATTCTCACGCATTGCGCCAAAAGCGTTTAAGCTTTGAAACCGTATTTGATTGCACCTGACACATGTCATGTGTAACTAAGGAGTCGCCACCAACCAGCAATAGCTATCGCAGTAGCAATAGCAATAGCAACTACAACGATGACAGCAACAGCGAAAGTGGTTCCTGCCACACACAAGCAACAACAACAACAACAAAGCTAAGAGACCGGAATGGAGGGGAAAGAGGGGAAATCACCTGGAGAGCAGCAAGCGGAAACTGCGGTCTGATGAATATCCCGCAGTGAAATGCACTGAAATTGTCTCCCAAAATGGGCGAAAATTAAATGCAGCCGGGGGGTGAGGTTTGCAGTTAGTGTGCTGTTAATTCAATTAATTGCGGACTATGAACGTTTAATGATTATGCAAATTACCGAAATAAGAGTGAAACTATGACCTACTACAACAACTCCGAGGATAACGAAGAAGATCAGCTCACTGTAAAGTGTTCTTTAAAGTTTCTCTAAATGAATATGTATACCATTGATTGTAGGTGTCCTTTCTCCTTAATGGATTCAATTGAACTAAAGTGAACCGGCTTGTATTTAAAGTGCCCCAAAGCCTATTGAAGCAATTGGGAAAACATTTATTTTTCCAGCTGAATTTATTATCCTTTCTTAGCTTAACCCACACCGACGCAATCGACGCAAAATTGCCAGCCATGTAATACGCAATTGTTAACTGCATTTTGGGGCAAATGGCAGAGCGCCCGGCACAGAAACTAAGACAACTTCAAGTGTCCTTAGCTGCAAGAACAATGTGCTGGCAGACTATGCAAATGCAATTGTTGCTGTTTCAGCAACGAAATAAGACCAGAAACAGGAGCTGGAGCTGAGTTTGCTCTATCGAGTCAACAATGAATTGAATGCCGGTCTGGCGGCTTCGAAATGAGCATCAGTCGTGGGCAGGACAATGGCAGGACCATGTTGATACAAGTGTCCAGGCAAATGTAATTTAAAAGAAAATTAATTAAGTGTTCCGCTGCAGGCAAATGAAAAAAATAGACGAGAAATTGGTGAAGCCGGTCTGCCTCTGGGCCCATTCTTATTCCTTCGGTGCATTTCTAATTACGCTGCTGCGGGATTGGGAAAGTGCTCATTTTGTGGCAACCTTTCGGTAATTTGCATGATTATAGCAGGATCAGACGTAGTCCTTTCCATAGTCCCTCCTCGTTTGTCTCAATAAGGCAGTGCGTCAACTTTCATTTGTCATTGTGGGTGCGCTGCCGCAGCCGAGCAAACAAAATGCATTACCGCAGACACGAGGACACCGAAGACAGGAGCGAAAGGACACGGACTTGACGCAGTTCCTTAGCAGCTGACCCGAAAAAAATCAACCCTTACGGGGGGCAAAAAGGCACTACTACTGATGCCAGCACACCCACGCAGTACACTGAGCAGAATGAGCACCCTTCAAGCAATTTTCAATTGTTTTCAAGTCATGTTTTTCAAACTATTTTCTAAAAACAAGATTTTAACACATACATTTTAATATTTTTAAATCGTAATGTAATTGAATTGAATTTAAAAATGTTATCTGTTCACAAATGCAGTTTTTCTTTCCGTGTACAGCTACTACTACTGCAGCCCGACTGCCTTCTATGCGAAATCCATTAGCAACTAAAGTGAAATTCATTGTTGCAAAAGTACATGTTGAAATAAATTGAGTTGTGGCAGCATCAACAGCAAAAGCAGCAGCAGTCGAGACGGCAAGAAAACTCAGTTTCTATCTCCTCTCCATCTTCTGCCGTTCGCACTGCACCTGTTACGCACACAGAGAGGCGGACAGGACGAAGGATGCAAGGATGTGGCCGGAGAGCAAACTTGTTTGTCTTTCGCTTGTGCCACGTTGCGTATGCGCAACATTTCAATGCAATTTATTAGCAATTTTTCCCCCGCTTCACCAGGGCAGAAGACCGAAAATATGTACATGGGATACCAAAAATTGTTTCATATTTAATATAATATCAGAGTCATGTGCAAAATTTTAATCTCGTAAGGGTTTTGTGCACAGTATAGCAAAAATTGGGCTCCAAATTATATGCTCGAAAAAAGTGCGCTACTTTCATCTCTTTAAAATCTATTTTGAGTGGTAGTTCAAGTTGAAATTTGTATTATAGCTCCTATTTAAATATAACAAAAGATTTCGTATTCCACATTCTTCCATTTTTGCCTACATTTTTACCACATTTCCCAACATTTGGAAACTCACAATGTGTTTCGTCGATAGAGTACCGCCCTGCATTACAAGTTGGACAAGTCCCCGGAAAATGTTATGTAATTGCCTATACGACACGTGTGCCATGCAACATGCCGCTTGCAACGTGCAACGTCATTAGCCATAAAAGTTCAATTCATTTTGCGGCGACAAGTTGCAAGTCCCAAACACACGCAAAAATTATTTTGTTGGTCAGACTAAGCCCGAAAGAACCGACCAAATAAAAATGGGAGAGAAATTTTATTTTAATTTGCCAGGACATGGGCAGTCTACTTCATTGCGGCGGTACAGGGGGGGCTGAAAGGGGGGAGCGCAAACTGCGAGGGGGGAAGAGGATTTACATGCACTCTGGAGTTGGCCACGTGAGCGAGGACTCACGACATAAAATACTTGTAATACTCGTGACTGTGATTTATGTATTCCATATTTGCCATTTAATAACGTAAATAGTATTTAATTCCTTTTTTTACCCTTTAATTTTCTCAATATTTATACTCACATGCTCATCTCTGATACGAAAAATACATGCCCAAGCCAAAGCACTTTAGTGGCACCCAAAATTGTGTCATCTTTTGGTTTTGCGCACACAAATTTCGGTTTCCGCTCCATTCGTGTCATTTCCCGCCTGCCGCCTCCCTCTCGTCACCGTCTCCATGTATGTATCCCTTCTCCGTCCTGCGAATGTGTCCTGTTCAACTGGGCCTAAACAATTTGTGGCTAATTACACGGCATGGCCATCAATTGCGAGCAGATACAGAGATACCGAGTGCAGTAACAATGCCACTTGTTATTCCAGTCCAGCCTGTTGGCCAGAACAAAAAAACACGTCTAAAAGTTATTTTATAATCAAAAAGAAATATCATTGAGGAGTGTTCTTTTGTGCATTCAATTTGTTTGAACCTTGCTAGTTAAATGGCACACAAATTAAACAATTTCCCACTACAACGTTGCAGCTGCTGAAAATACAATTTAATTTTCCTTATTTCCCAAAAAGTTATAGTCATTTGCCCCAGGTATTCATGTAGCCCACCGGCATAAATTTATGTCTGCAATTAAGTCAACCGCATGCAGTTTTTCTTCCATCTTGTCTTGCACTTCACTGAAGTGCAGTAGCAAAGTTTAATCAGCCGGATGGGGAAAGTTTTGGATACAAAATAAAAAAGTGCAGGATGAGAAGTCACTTGAAAAGGACTTCCTGGAATATATTTCATCTTCTATAAAATGTAGTTTTTATAAAGCTTTGTTCATTTAAGAGTCTCTTAAATAAGGCTAGGTTAGATATTAATTAAGAGTGAAATGTACAAAATAATTTGGATTTAACATACACAACAAGTTAGTTGGGCTTTGTGTTAATATTTTCCTATTCAAATTGCTTACCAGGTATAGGAAACGTATTAAAATATCCTGTATTCTTTTTAAGCAATGATCTTTTTGTTTGCCCTGCACTTGATAAAGATTGCTCATACGCCATGTATGACATGGGACATTTTTAATCAAACCTTATCGACATGTCTCGGCCTCGTGGGAACTTGCGTTCTTGGCTGGCTATTATTTTTTTAGGTACCTTTTAATGTCTGCCCTTTTGTGGCTTGTAATAAAATCAGCACGAAATTGCCAAATTATTTAGATTTGGCATCAAAAAGGGCGGGCCCAGGGTGCAGCCATATTGTCGAATGAGCAATAAAAAGTGTCTTTTATGACCCATATGACAGACGCACTTTTCGGTTGCGCCAAAGATATTTGCATAACTCAGGTGGGCGAGTGGTGGGGCACGGGAATTCCGGTCGCAGATCAGGCGAGCCTGGTTTATAAATTGCTTTTTTATTGAAATAAACAAAAGCCTGAAGACAGCTTTAAGCCAAGATGTTCGCCTTCAATTTGGTGAGGAAGTGCACATACTTTGCCGCAGATTTCATACCGATTTTGCACAGTACATGTGTATCTAAGCTGACATAAATTTTGGGGCGAATGGAATTATATTTTGTTACGCTGTTTTGAGACGACGCCAAAGAAGTTTGCCGCATTCAGCTGCTTGTTGATAAATAAATATGACAACAAAATGTTTGCACAAGATAAATGTGTAAGCAAGCTGACAAGAAGCTGAGGTAAAAAGGCACTGAAGGTGCGTGCCATATGCGTTAAGCTAGGAAAGGCAAGCAATAACTACACAATTTTTGTCAATTTTATTAAAAGCAATGCACGTTAGTTAGAGACATCTTTGCTCCTATTTTAGTGACTATGACATGGATTTATGGCTATGGGCGGCATCTTACCCAAGCGGGCAAAACACTCGAAATCGCATTCTAAACTTGGCATATTTGCATACAGAAGCGACTGCACTTTGCTCCCTGACACCAAAACATAAACAACGAGCTCGCCGTGGGACAGGTAAAAAACCGAACCACTGCTGCATGAGTGCAATCCATATGTGATATTACTTCTTATTTTTCATGCATGTGTACATAATTATAATGCAGCCCCAATACGAGCTGTCTAAGTACATGGAAAACTCCGATATTCGAGGGCAATTGCTTGCTGGGTATTGTTGGAAATGTGTGATACCTAAAATTACATAATACATTATATTTAGGCAATTTAAGTTAACTGATAACTTATTAGCTCTGCAGTTCATGCAGTTCGAAATGCTATTTTGCAGAAAAAAGAGGGAAAACACTGGATGCTCGATGGAGCGCGCACAATCACCAGGGTATTATGTTCGAAACAACAATCAACTGCAATCAAAATAGAAAAGCCGCACAATTTTCCTGGCATGCGGCACATGATGCAATATTTCCATAATTTTCCCCTCTGACCCGACAGCACGTTCCTCATCTCGCTTCGCATTGTTGTAAATGTTTTACATGCCAAATTATGCAAAAGTACAATTCACCATACATATTCAAATATTTTCCCCGAGTTCCACAAAATACACACGGACACTGATCCCGATTTGGAATATTTGAATTTTGGAATTTGCCTGTCAAAGTCCCAATAATGACATGTCACGCTGTGTTTTATTTTTCGCCCTATCTCTCGATTTATTTGTGCTGTGTGCTGTTATTGTGTGGAATTTTCACTGCTTTTCAGTTTTATGCTGCTTTGCATGAAGCGCAAGGTCAACGATGTTGCACGCAGATGATGCGTATTTCATGGGAATTAAGTTTGATTTGATAAAGGTCATGTTTCCTGTGTGCCAGCGTCTGTGTTTATTCGTGATGATCTGATAACGGAATTTGCAATTATGACAAAACGTAAATGGTTTAAAGTGTTTTTTGAGTGATGGAAATGGGAAATGTGTCGGCGGGAAAATCGGATAAATTGATTGGTCTGTTTGGCATTGATAGATTTGCCGACATGTGTTTTTGTTCACCAGTTAAGTTGGTTGAATGCCTAATGCACTTATTTCGAATGGTATTATGCCAATTGTTGATGTGCTTGTTTGTGTACGAGTATAGTAACCATTAACCATTGCTTCAGTGGAAAGTGATTAAATTTCACAAGGAAAAAACAGTTCTAAATTAAATTTGTATTAGTTTTCTAGGCTATCTACTTGTAAATTGTAAATTGGCTCTCCGGACAAAAGCCTTTTGGAATTTGAAATTATACCAGACAATCAGCATACGTATCTTTATTTGCTGGCCAAACCCAATCCTCGTATTCCTTACCTCATCTCAAACTGCAAGCTTTCAGTTTGATTCCTGGTTATTATTCAGCAAATAATCAGGCTGTAACAGTTGGCATATGTAGAGGAGTTTTGGGTGCCCAAACGCACGGTATCACCTGGTCAACCGATTTCAACGACAATTCATTCAAATGTCGTCCATTCTGATGGGCCTCGGTTCCTGGTCTTTTGTCCGGGATCCTATGTTCCGTGTTCCCCATTCGCTTTGGCTGGCCAAAAGACCATTAAAGCTATTTTTTCTGCCCATTCAGCATTCAATAGAAATTTACATCACGTCGAAAATTTTTACATACGCATGTGTGTATATGTCCTTTGCTAAAAGGACATTTTGTGGGATGGGGGATGTGGTTATGTGGTGGCGAAAGTCGCGTTGAGCATACTAACACTTTTTTGTATGTTTGCTTAGCTTAGGTTTTTACCTGGCAAAAAAGCAGCAGGGGTTGGGCATCGGATTGTGGCAGCCTCGAAGTAACAATAACAAAACCCGGGCGGGGGAACAAAATTGATGCTACCTGCTGCAGTAGCTATATGGCAGGAAACTATATTGCCACATAGGCAATTTCATTGTGCGGCACACATATATTCAAGCAGATATGTTAGGGCCCCGAGCAAATTGGTTTACCCTTTTCACACAACTTTAGTTGAGCTCCCACGTCCCAACCGAAAATGGAATGTAGTTTAAGCAGCTAGTTTGGGACTATAGTATATATGAAATAAATAAATAATTATCAAGCCTAATATCAGGTTTTTTAAACGTAATTTTTGTAATTTACAGCATACTTATACATATTAAACTTCCAAACCAAGTAGCTTCTTTCATCCAATTAAATGCTGTAGTGCAGTTAAACACGTACACTTTCACTGAAACTTTCCACTTCGGTTTTCTTGCCTCCCAGGTAGAAGATGAAAAATGGGGCATGGACCTTGAGAGAGTTGCACAATTTGCTAATTACCGCAATCAAAGTTTTCTTGTTGGGCAGCCAAAACAGCTTCAAAAGCACAAAACTGATAAATTATAAATTAAAGGGAATCTCGGGAAAAGTTGGCTCTTTCCCTATCTTAAGTTTACACAGCGAACTGTTGTGAGTATTCGCTCGTTTTTTTATGCTTGGATTCGAGTGCATAATTTACGAGTTGAGCTCGCTGCCAATATTTCAATTACTCTACGGCATTTCGAGCAGTCTTCCTTAGTGCCTCCCTATCCCAAAAGCAATTTCAATTGAGCTTAGTGCTTACGGAGTACTCTTTTCGGTAGGCGGTTTTGTCTCAGGGCGAAATTAGTGGCCAAAACTGCGGCAGATTACAGGCCAGGCCAAGAGCGAACTTCAAACAATTATTTGGCCAGCTGGACTGGGAAGCTGGCTTTTAATTTGCTTAGCCCCGGCCCATGAATAATGCAATACGAGAAAGAAACGAGACCGAGAAGAATTTTTGTATAATTGCAGGGCGCCAACATTTCGCTTAGAATCTCCTTGGGCCACATAATTGCTAAGTGGAAGGGGACGGCAGAAAGTTAAATGTAAATTAAATATTTCCCTCGTCTTTTCTTAGCAAAACGCAAGTTTTATCTGGCTCTTAGGTCGAATATTCACCTGCTACAGGGGAGCCAGTGAACTGACATGAAAAGGAATGGAAAGCAGGTGAAATCTGTATTACAAAGAATTTGTGGTAACTAAAATAATATTTTAGCAAGTTCCTTTATAATTTCAAGAAATATCTCATTTTATTCCTAAGATTTTACAAGCATATCCTTCAGCTAATTTTTGTTTCCAGTGCCCATAATAAGCCCCATTTCAAGCATATACATTCGACTGCTTTTGGAGGCACGATTGCATCGATTAATTAAGGCTGTCATCGTGTAAATTGTGCTAAATTATTATTATCAATGTTGTTGCACGACGACAAACATTCAATATCGCGAATGTGTCGGGCTCGACTGGCACCAAGGATACAGATACACAGGATACACAGGACGAGCCGTTGAAGCGGAGCGACCAAATTGCAATTGTGATATTGACAATAATGCAATCAAATAATCAATCAATTACTGTCTGCTTGAATTAATGTCGAATATTATGTGCTATCGTCAATGCCATCATTAGCACTAAATTCAATTACTTTGCAGGCATATCCTGTTGCCCTCCATGATGATTCATCATGGTTAGCGTACTTTTTCGAGGAGGCACGGCATAACCCAATCCTAATCCCAGGAGCCTGTGGCCCACAAATTACTCTCGGCCTTTGGAACATTTAAAAATTTGTGGCTCTAGTTTGGGGCACCGGAAAAATATCCCATGGCTGGATCACCCGGCGTCAAGGATAAGCTGAATCTAATTGTTGGCGGGGACATTTGCGAGGTATACCGGGATGGCTTCAACTGCGGCTCCTTTGGCTTCTGGTGCGGAGTCGTCGGATTGGCCGTCTTCCTGCTTTCTCTGGCCTACTTTCATATAAATCGGGAGCGAATAGATCCGACGGAATAATATCCCTAAATGTGGGCCGCTCTAAATTGCTGTGTCATAAGTAAAAAGTAAATATTTAAAAAAAAAACAAATCATCGTAATACATTCTTTATGGAGTCATGTGTTCTTTATGAACTGCCCTGCAAATACAAAGCTCTTTGAGTTGTCTCTCAAATGAAATCCGTTAATGCCGTCAATCCAAATTAATGTTTTTATTCATCAAGCTCAATTTTCATGAAAGTTATCCTTAAATCGCAGTTAAAAATGCATGTGCATATTTTTCCGCCCCCTCCTATCACCAAGCAACATGCACATATTTATCATAGCTTGATGGACCCAAAACGGATGCTATGTAAATTTTCACTCGGTCGATACATTTGACAGAGCTCATATATACGCTCGTATATAAAATTCCTCAACTTCGTTTGATTTATGCATCATTCACGCGCAATTTATCGTAAAAATTACGCAAAAGGCCAGTGCAAAAAATAAAAAAATAAAATAAAGAGCGAAATTCACGTTTTTCGAAGCAATCGACAAAGTGAACTGGCGTTAAAAGTCGCCGGGGTCATTTATTGGGTAGTTTATTATGCAGTAAAACATAACTGATTTCCAATGTTGTTTACTCAACTTACAAACATTTTGATTTACGTGTGTGCGGCACAGATATGTGTCGATATACGTATATATTTTCACGTATATCAATAACATCACCAGCAACCACATTCAACATCCAACAATAATAAAGAGGCTGACAGGCAGGCATGTGTAAGCCGAATGGTGTTTATATATTTACTTAACTTTTATGCTACTCCCTTTGCCGATGTGCAAGTGTATTTGATTACAACAAACATGAATAGCAGGGGCCACAATTATAGCAGTTTTTGAAAGTTAGGTCACTTAGAAAATCCCCGAACTCGAGTTGAATTTCACTATATCACCATAAATTTCACTATAAATTATAATTATTTAAGCGACTCTCTACCGAGATCTACCGACTGTTCTTAAATCCCCTTAGTTATCTAATGTTTTATCTTCGTGACCTGATTTGTGTATTTAACATTTCATGCACAACTGTACGGAGGAAACGCGAGTGCTGCGGAGTGGGAAAAGCGAGTCAAGGTAGCGATGCATGAACACATATTTGCATATGCCACACGCACAAAGCCAAAGAGTGGGTGGCAGGTGGAAACTCAGGGGAAACTGAGTGATGCCCGCCAGAAATGTCATTTTGTCACTCGGGTTTTAATTGATTTACGCATTACATATGGCTACATTTTAATAGTTAATCGATGTGAAACAGGAAGTGCTAGTGAACTAAGTAACATTGCAGTAAGCTGCGATGCACGAGTCCTTTAAATTCTGTTAAAGCATATTGCAAGTTTATCCACCTTGCCACTCTCCTCGTCCTTAGATATTTTTCTTTGCTGTTTACCTTGCACTTTAAGTGCAACTACCACCATTCATCGATTGGCCATATTTCTTGTTATTTTATTGCTCCTTTTTGCCTCGTGCGTCTTTCATACGCACTCGATATTCAGGCAATCCACTGAAAGTGCCATCATCATTCGTTCCATATGCAAAAGCCAAATAACATTCTCGCAATGCCGCCCCGTCCCCTATTATTTCTGCCTCGGTTTCGCCTTTGCTCCTTGCTGGCCATTGTTAAAGGCTTGTGGTCGCCTCCTGCTGTTGCAACTTCAGTTGAGGCTGCCGCTGTCAAGCTGCCAGGACGTGGGCCTTGAGAAGCCGCAGGATATGGACCAGTCCTCAAAAGTCACCTACACTAGCAGAGAGCTGGCTGCAAAGTGCACACGATTTTATGATTAAATTTGAGAGATTCTGAAGCAAAAATGTAATTACTCCTTATCCTTTTTATTGAAATTCGAATATTTCTATTTATACATAAATAAATTTAAAGAGTTATTGTAAATGCATGTTCATTCTTAAATACTTTTATTTAAGCCTAGTCAGTCTAGCCTAATTAAAATGAAATAAATTAACTTGAAGGTTAGGATTCAAGAGGCCTTTTTTTCAAGTGTTCTTCCCTTGCTGTCCTTGCTAATGAAACAAAAACAGACAAGTTAATGTACAGTTGATGTACCGTCTAATGGCTCTCATTGCCACGCCCCCATTACGAATTTCGCCGCCCACAGAGATTTGCATAAAAAGCTGGGGAGCTGACCGTGCTAATTGAGTGAGTAAGCGGTTGCCGGGCTAAAACTTTTCGACATTCTAATGCCATTGTCAAGCAGCTTCGCTTCTGCTCAAACTAGTTAACATTTCCGTTTCCCTAGGTTCCATTCCCATTCCCAATCCCTTGGATTCGCAGTCACCCACCTACCTTGCTGGTAGTGCGCCAGTGCTCATGAATATGCCTTTTATAAATAATTCAAGCGCATTTACTGATAGCTCGGCCTAAGTCCTTGCACAGAGTCCCCGTTTCATTTGTGGAGCAAAATTAACAGAGCGCATTGAGTGGCCATTTCAACCGATTTCGTAGACAAAGAACCAGCCCCGAAAGCAAGTCAAATGTCACAGGTCGAGCGATTCGGAGATGCGAGGATGCGGAGGAGGAAGCCCAAGAAATTTGCGGAAGTCAAGTCCTCTATTTTCCAATGCAAAACTACCAAGGGTCGCTTAAGCAGTTTGCTAATGAGTAATAAATAATAATTTTAGTAATTTTCAATGTGATTAATTGTTGTTACTTTAACAGAGTATTTTTATTACTTTTATACACGTATATAGATATATTAATCAAAGAGCGAACAAATTTTGAATAGAGGATCACTTGGTTAGGGAATTGTTCATCTGTTACTCATTTCTGTAGCAAGCCTCTGCGCATTTAGCCCCAATCATATTATTGGACCCATTCTAAATTCGCTTGTTCATGTTTCTCATAATTATTCAAGCATAATTAATCCCAATGGCAGCTGCTGGTAGCCACCACGCCCATCTGCCAGTTGCTTTTTAGCGTTTACAGTGCGCCTGGATTTTTGTATGGACTTCCTTTTCAGCAGGGCTCTCAAAAGTGTTGCCTACTTCTCGGGGCACTCACAAATTACCAGCTCAAACGAGCATTACCAACAGCTACAGCTACAGCAACAAGGACGTCAAATCCACTCACTGGCTAAACAAAATAACACAATTTACAGTTAATCTAAATTGTTTTGCCTTTTTATTAGCCACACCAGCACGAGGAAATAAGTTTTTTGTGGCTTCTGCTGCAACTGAACTTGATAAAACTTGAGCAGAGACAGATGGGAATGGAATGGTTTGGGGCAGCAATGATATAGCAACAGCAAAAGTGACTTTATTATAATTTTCAACTTTTGATTTACTGCAGGTCCGCCCCCCGCGTTCCTTGCAATGGTTAGAAGAGCACAAAAGCCAAACAAAATGGGGCTAATTTTTATACCCGCACACACAGACACAACAATGGCGTCGCAGATAGCGAGTCGCACACAATTGCAAAAGTTTTTTAGCATAAGAAAACAGCAGCATTGAAAGGAGCTGAGAACAGGCGAAGATTTCACAAAATTACAACAATAAAGGCGAGCAATAAAATTAAGCATTGTAATATGGCGACAAGAAGCCACGGAAAGGAAAACGAATTCATGGAATTAAAGTTGAGGCTTTGGGGTAATATCTTTAATAACATTTAAGAAAACAGGCGACTGATAAACATTAAGTTTAAATGTTGGTATTGGAAAAAAGGCTCATTACTGCAGCAATTAAATTTTTTCGGAAAATCTAGTGCAACTGCAAATCTTATTTATGGAGATTAAGGAGTAATATTTATACCACCTGTTTAACTCGATCACTTAAGCAAAAGCGCCCAATTTAATGGTTTTATTGCCGAATAAAGCGCAGTGCGGATTTAAATTAAGCCGCAAAGAGAACGGATTGGTGCGAAACCCTTTCCTTCGGAAGGATTGGGACGATATCCCCACCGCCCCCCAAATGTAGCACGTTCCATAATTGCAAATCAATGAGCTGCTGGCGAGGCATATACAATGGCATCGCTGATTATGACGATGGCATAACGATGATTACGCCAATTGTCCCTCTAAGCTCAATCTGCCGCCCTCCCCGGCGACCACGCCCCCTCCGTTCATGTGTGTATAGCATTTTAATAAATTACGTGACAAACTGCAGTACTCACCTACAACAAGCTGTCTTCGATGAAAGCAGCTATGTGATTTTTATTCAGGGCTAATAAATTATATGCGTGGCGCTTATTTTGGGATTTTTTCAAGGCAAGGCCTGTTTAAAATATCAAATTAAAATACATTTATATTTCCCTAATCAGCTGATACAGCCTAACTTTACTTCCCATTCGCTCAGTGCATCAGCAGCAGGTGTCACCTCCGAAATTGCTGCGCTCTCGAATTTCCTTAATGTAGGCTCATTAGTTGGAGGGTATTAAAGCGGCTTTATGTAGGGGCACTCGGATGGCAGGGGGGAGTGCGCGGAATTGCATTAGTAGGGGCTGCTATTGCAATTTGCATTTGCCAAACGTCTGCGACATTTGCATAGTCGTATCTTGTTGCGTGCACTCGATGCGCCAAGTGAAATTGCCAAAATGAAACGACAAAGTTTTGCACACAGTTAACAATATTAAATCGGATTTCGAAGGCGGCATCGCCTTTCTGGCTCCGCTCCCAGCTGAAAGTGTAATTACATTTTGCCTGTTTTGTGTGTTAACAAACCGTATAATTGGTCCGAAGTGCGACCTGTCACTGCAGTAAGTCCCCAGCTGAGTTCCAGCAACAGTTGGCCGCATTTGAGAGCCGGATTCAGATTCCGGCTGTGAATCCGCTTCGGGTTCGGCATGTTTAATGAGTGCCGCGCGAGTTTCAGGGACACTTGGGCGGAAATTCAAGGAATTTAGAAGCAGAACCCAAAGGACACAAAAGGAAAGTTTCCTGGTACGTATTTCGAGCCTGCAGTACCAAACCTTATGAGTACTTTTAACTCGCTTCTATTTTCTTGTTATATTTGATGTCGCGCTGTTTATCAATCTTATTAAAAACATTCCAAGCTGAAATTCCTTAGGATAACTTTATCTGACTTTCTGCCCGCAGTGTGGCTTCTCCATCTTGCATCCATATACACAGCTGCAGTTCGGCTTCCCTGGGGATGCAATATATTGCCCGAGACTCCGCCTTCCTTTGCAGTTTTGCATATTTTCGG